TCCCCTTCTGAGCCGGCGGGGCCACGTGTTTCAAGGGAATGTGACCCTTTTCTTTGAATTTGAACGGTTCGCTTTCGATCCTGACTTTCGACTTTTTATGTGAAGGGAAGAATCTTTTTAAAAGAAAATCAAACTTATTTGCTTACGTATATGTGAAGGAATATAATCAAAGACGGAGCACGGTATCCGAATTTTCTGGCCGCATAGAAGACACAAACGCAGACTCTTACTTTTGAGCAGGCATGACCTAACTTAATTAAAGGTGTGACCCAACATCAAAACACCCTTTTTTCATCTCCTGACTTCTCCAACTGTATTCAGCAGCCACGCATACGTCAAAACCAGTGATAACTATAAAGATGGTACGGTACTATTAAAAAAATATGAAAGGAAGATCAACGTACAAACCTTAACAACGGATACACCAAGTCAAGAGAGAAGGGAGCCGGACAAATCGCCGGACTCTATGCAAGGAAATAACGCAAGTTCAACAATAACGCCACGCAGGGCGAAACTAGTCTTGGGAAAGCTTGTGTGTTAGTAGGAGAGGTAGCATGGCTCTACTTTTTTTGATTTCAGGAGGCCATTCCTACGACCTCGGAATTTGTCTGAAAACACCAGCGTGTGGGGGAGGGTTGATGCGAACCGAGACCATACTTTGCCCGCAAGGGGGGGGGGAGAAATTGCAAGCGCTTGAGGTCAGCGACGGGGACAGCTGTAATCGACCCAGAGGGGGAGGGGGATGCAATAGCAAGCAGCTCTTGAACCAGTCGTCTCTTAATGAAATGGGGGGAAGCGTTGCTTAAATGGGTGATTAAAGGGCAAGGGGGCCGAACGGGAGGTGGGGCCACTATTCAAGTATCAGTTAAATGGTAGTTGGCTGGGGGACTAATTTTCACACCACTGTGTATTCAACTGGAAACAAAAGAGGTCAACAGGAACATAACTCTTGGAGGAATGGAACTTGGGCACACAGTTCAGAGAAAGGGGCAACAGCCTTTCATAAGAGGGAGACAATTTTAGTGGGGTCTGGCAAAGAGGCAATGGAAATGGACGTGGAGAATTTCCAACTTGTTCAGATGGAAATAACAACCCTGCTTATCAGATAGACTAATTCTCCGAAAGAGTATAATTCCTGCAATGAAAGTGGAGGAGAGTTCAAGGAACCCCCCTTTAAAAAAGAAGGTACCTAAGAAAACTGCTTGTCAAAGGAACATGGGGGAGCAGGGTAGGTCGCTACTGGGCGTAGGATAAAACTATAAGGAAAGATATTGGAGATATTGGGGTTCGTGGGAGACACAATACATGGATCGCTAATTTAAGGACCTCTCATAAATTTCCGATGGTTTATTCTCAAAGTCACGGAGAAATGTGCTCTGAAAATATGTGGAAAATGAAAGATTATTTGAGTCAGTCTTCAAATAAATGCAAAGTCTTTGCTTGAAGGTGGATAGATTATTTGCCAACCTAATATCTATTGGCAGATTATTACAAAGAGAACTTTATCTAAAAAAACAAGAGATAGCACTTAGAAATGGAGGATGGGGGAGCAGTATAATCAGGGAAGAAGTACTTATACTTTATGGACCAATAGCAGGGAAGGTTGCAAATAATATCAAAGCGAAAAAGAAAACAGAGGGGAGCTTCCAGTCACCAAACCCATTCAAGTTATAAGCAAGTTAGCTGGCATCTATTTGTGTAGGAAATAATGGAGAGAGTTGGATATGAGCGTTTTCTAATACAATTTATTTATTTATTCATTACATCGTTCATTCCTAAATCGCCTGATTGTCTCTTTTAATTCAACAAGGGGTGTGAATTTTTGCCCACACAGAAATCATCAGAGCGTTTCAGATACCGGTTCATATGCCGACAATACCGTTGCTTTTGCCGTTGTCATTGCTATCAATCAGGAATATTTCAGTACCCGCATGGTAAAATAACTAATCACCGAAGAGCGTCGGCGACCAATAGGAAGGTTAACAGGCCCTGACAATTTATAAAAATATGAACCGCGAGATGGTCTGGTTTTTGCTTTTCGTAAAGTGCCCCTCGCACGAAATTACTTCGCGTCATGGACGCAAGGTAGGCAGCCTCGTTTCAGCAGTTGTAATGTATTATCAGAATCCAAAGGATTAAGGTTGCCATTCTTAATTATCCTGATTTTCCGAAGAAGGGAATCCAGTTCAAGTAAACGGAATTTGCCTTTCCCAACGTCAAGTTCAGGGACATTTTCGGAATTTTTAGGAATCCTGCGTTGATTCAAGAGTCCATAGATGTGCTCGCTGAATTAGTTGCCGAACATTACACGAAAAATAAGGTAGGTGTCCAACGGTTCATTGTGAACAAGAAATTAGCCGCTGGATGCTATCGTTGGTATGGATGCTCGGGGGTTTCTCTTTGGACCTATGCTGGCCGTTAAGCTAAATTGTGCCTTTGTCCCTATCAGAAAGGCCAACAAACTTCCTGGTGAATGCTTCTCCGAGGAGTACGAACTGGAATACGGAAAGGTTAGTAAGTGTGCTGCGACGATCCTTACCTTGTTTTTTTTGGGGGGGGGATTTGGAATTTATACGCTGGAGTCAGCGTGCTTTAGACACTGGTTGCAAATTTCAAAAAATGACTGTCCAGTTTTATTGGCCCGTTCTTGCCCACGCTCTGACTGTACTCACTGTTCTTTAAGTTTGTTCCATTTTCCCTTACTCGTTATCGGATTTCAGCAGAAATTGACCCTACAAATTCATATCGGCCGAAAAATACAGAGTTAACAGTAATTCTATTGTATGCTTTGAAGAAAAAAATTTATGTATGGGTGTGAACGGACTGCAGACTATTGAACACGCTCTTCAGTTGTCTAGGAGGTTATTTAACTTTATCCTAAACCGTATATCGTGCCAACCTCCTTCTGGATGATGGCATTTTATGTCCCCAAAAGGACCATGGTTAACCTGTCAGTTTTGTCTCGCCTTACCCTATTTGGAGTCAAAATGTTTAGGGGCGCCCACTACCACAGTACACATGGAAATACTACATTTCATTTCGCACCTTATTTCCGTTTAATCATGCGATAGTGTTGAGTTCGTTGAAGGGTTGCAATTGCAATGCGCAAAGCTGGCGGCTGAGGTAGTTGCGAAAGTGCAGTAATGATCATGAACACAGATCTATTCTGGTTATTGAATTTATGAATTTAACTGGTAATAAACCTGTTAAATGTGCTGATATGTGCATACGTCCAATCTATTCTGTCGTCTATCCAACCAATTGGTTTAAACGATTTTTATGTTCCTCGTTAAATACTGTTCGTCCGTTTTTTTTACTGATACATGCTGGAAGTTTTCGGATCTTTCTAACTTGCCTAATAGTAGTCTTGTAGCCTGTTTATGATATTTTATCAACACGAAAAATTATATTAACCTAGATAATGTCATTGTATGCGACAGCCGTTACCAACGATGTCCATCGTGTGCCCCACAAGAAACTAGACACAGGGACGGTGGCTTATAGTAAATTAGTTTATAATGACGATAAATTTGCACATAAAAAGTGACTGAAAAAATTCTGGTCATTTGGCCTACAATAGGGAGGTTTAGTCCTTTTGTTATCTGGCCAAGTCAATGTAAAATGCTCACTTTTAATTGTACGTATCGTAGTTTATATCCTTCACGAAAATTGTAATCGTTAATGCGTACGCCTGCACGAGCGTTTACTTTGCGGTTGTAAAGAAGCAGTAGCAAGTAAAACGAGCTGATATTGCCAGTTGACGTAATCAGCATTTTTGGTCTTGGCTGCCCCAAAAATGTCGGCCGGAGTCCGTCGTATTATGGTAGCTTATTCTGCCTCTTAATAGAGGAACTCTAAACGCTCTCATTCTAACAAGTCTTATATTGTTAATTTTTGATGTTTTCCCGAACTGTCGGCCTTCCAAACTAACACTTTCCCTTACCTTCATTTTCCCCCAGGCAACTTTGGAACTTCAAAAATCTGCCCTATCTCCAGGAGCTCGTGTGCTTGTACTTGATGACCTTATTGCCATCGGCGGCACCCTTACAGCTGCCTGCAAACTTGTGCGAAAGGCTTCTGCAGAACCGGTCGGTTGTGTTGTCCTCGTTGAACTCGCTGATCTCAATGGTCGTGCGAAGTTAAAGGAACTGGGTGTACCCGTCCAGTCGCTGATCACCTTCTGATTCCAACGTCAGTTCTCAGAACCCCACGGGCTTTTCTTCGGACTCCCCCCCCCAAAGCTAACATAAGAGCATGTTTGCCTTTAAAACCCCTAGCCTTTATCTACTGATCTGTAAATCTTCAACCCTCCCTCCCCCCCGATTGTGAGCTCTTGCGCTAGCCATCTTCACATCTGTACTATTTGCCCTCCAAGAAACCGCATATCAGGAGAGGACTGCCTAAAATGAATATTTTCCATGTCTTCCAAATGTAATGGTCAGTAGTTTTGGCTATTTCAAATACCACGCATTTCTGTGTTTTGACCTGCATGGGTGACCGTATTTAGTAGAATATTATGCCACTCTATTTATACACTCGCTTGTCTTATAATCGTAATGGACATCGAAAATTTACCTTATATTATCCTAGGATTGATTCAAACTGCCCTTTTACAAGTAAAAAAATCTGGGAGTTTGGGAATAAGGTTGTTCGTGTTTTTTTAAATCTTGCGTATTCCCAGTTATAATAGTCGGTCCTCCCTTCTGCGCCTATTACTGGTCGCTATGCTGAGGGCTTGAGAGGACTCTAGGCATACAATTTTGTGCATTGCACGATACAGAAGCACTATATGGGTATGTTATAATAGTGTCCAGGGCAAAGTCCATAAATACCGGATAGAAGAAAACGAACGGCGGGTCCAGCTGATAGACTTAGCTAAAATGGTTCTGTCTTCGATAGGCATTCCTTCTTGAGCGTATGATAGTAGCTATGCGCAATGGGACGAACATGTCGCGTTTCCTGATCGGCGAGCGCGTCTTTCTGCAAAGTGGTTACTTAACGCTCACGAAATGAGTTGGCACCCGGATCATGCAAAATAAGGGAGGTTAGTATGCTCAGCTGCCCTTGCAGGAACCAGATTGCGCACACTTCCATAAATACTGATTTCACCCAAACTTCACCTCCTCGAGTGACAATTGACTTGACAGAAGAATCTATTGCAAGTCCAAATTTGTTACTGGCCACCATCCTCAAAAGCCAACAGAGTTTTGGTAGGCGTACACAAGAGCTAAAGTTAATTTAACAGAAAATGAGTCCCTGTGGAGACAGGGGGTTGGCAGAAACTTATGATTAATACTATGGACGTACTCATTGGGTTAAATGGGGTTGCATGCAACGGTTCTTTAATTTTGATCATACGGAGCACGAAACTCTCATTTGAAGTTAACCGAAGCTAGGCTGAGTGCAGCGACCGTACTCCAGCAACCGTTTTTGTTGTCGAAAACAACGAACCGGAGGTAGCCGCCGTATCGGCTTACCTGGTAGAACAACACGTGAAGCAGCGTTCATCGCGAAAACACCACAGCCAAGCGGGCTCTGTATTTCGGGTCAACTACCACAATCAAGCACACCTCCCGTCCTACACTAGGATACGATGATTATAGCAGGAAGGAGTGAGGTCAGTGCTATTTAAAGTCACCTGTCGATGATCTAATTCACACAGACAGAGAGACGGTAGACGGAAAAGTTGACCTTCAGTTAAGGGACACTTCTTACTGAAGCGTATGCGTTCAGCAGCTAGCCTCCTCAGTTGGTCTGTGCTCAGGACAAATGTACTTGAGCAAAAAACGGTGAAGCAAGTAATGGAGTGATGGCCTTTGCAAAACCCAGATTTTATTTTAAAATCTAGTGCAAATCTTGCTCGAGAAACCACCTGCGCGTCTTTCTGTGAGAGTTCTAGGTTAAAGTCTAGGTGAACGAACATCTTCAATATGATCGGGGAACGTACTTATCACGTCAGTTAAGATTTTGGTGTGCCAGTATCGCTTAATTTGACTCATAGTTAGCGAAGTAGAGCATTACACAAAACAGAAGGCGAGCCGCTAACACTATCGAAAGCACTATTTTACAAGGAAGTCTTGGGCAAGTATTTACTGCGCTACAATTGCTACCGGGAACCGGAGGGGATGGCACGATGTTCTGCAACCTAAAGAGAGACTGCCCCCAATGAAACCTCAGCAGTTGTCTGCAAAATACGTTGCAACGATGGAGACTGTAATTGCGTTGGAGAAACAGGGCGCAACTTGAAGATCCACCTACAGGAACACAAAGCGGCGGCTCGGAGACTAGACCCTAACTCACAGTTTGCAACACATATCAGGGAGACTGATCATGACTTCAATATTCAAGGAACGACCATCCTAGGCCGAGGAGCCTCAAAAGCTGAAAGATTGACACATGAGGCATGGTACTCAGATGCCAACTCTGTCAACAGACATTTGGACCTCCCTGCGGCCTATGAAGTCCTACTCCATTACGTAAGTAAAGAACAGGATACGGTCAAACCGAAGTAGGACTTGCAGGCGAAGACGGCACTGTAACGAAACTACCGGAAGAGAGAGCAGGATTACCAGCATCCTCTGCCGTAGGAACGAAACAGAATACCAACTGCCGTCACGCCAAGCCATCACGCATGGCAAAACAGCGATAGGATAAAAATCGATCAGCCCAAGGCCAACCCGCACAGCCGCAACTTTAAACTTGCTGATCGATAAA